GGTGGCAGCCAGTTTGTGGTATTTGTTACAGCAGCCCTAAAAAACTATTATATGTAAGATGAGATAAGACTTCAAACAGTAGATATTTACCCCTATTAGAGAGTGGAATGGACATTTAGACAGAAAAACAAAGCTGCAAAGACATGAATAAGGATGAAATGTTTGCCTGTTATGAATTGTGAGGATGGGAAAAAGTTCTAAATAAAGCTAGACAGCCAAGCAGAGAGCAGAACATGAAAGGTCTATCATACCATACTAAGGGAATTTGTGCCACACTAAGGCAAGTGGCAAGAATTAATGAAATTTGAACGAATTTAGAAACATGACTGGAAGTAGATACCAATGAATGGGTTCAAAACTAAAGACAGGAAGACTGATTAGACTACAGCAGAGACCCAGCAGATGAGAATCCAGCCTATCCCTCCTGCATTATCATTTCAACCACAGTATGCTGAGCAAGCTTTCATTTGAAAAATAGGTTCACCTCTAACTTCATTTCTTCTCCCTCTCTCCCTCTCTCCCTCTCTCCTTCTCTCCACCCAATACAGAACTATGGACAACTCCTAGAACTCTTCGTGATTAACCATGCTTTCTTTGCCTTTGCTCATGATTTCCTTCTGCCTGGAACTTTCTTGTGGCAGCCTCCCTACCCTCGCCCTTGTCCCATTTTCTTCATCTTGCTAAATTCTACTTGTCCTTCAAGGCTTCACAAACATGACCTTGCCTGGAATACCTTTCCCAATTTTCCCAGAATGGGTAGGGTATCCATGTGCTTATGACATTATATTGAATTACCTGATCCCTAGAAAACAGAGTTCTTATTCATCTTTGCACAATATTTCCTTAGGAGATATTGAACAAATGTTTCTTGAACTAAATATTCTTGTACTAAATTGATAGACATTCTAACACTGCAATCTCTCCTGCTCATGAGAATCCAGAAAAGTGAAAGTAAAAATTAAGTTAATCTTCACTAAGACTCTATTTCAAGATTAAAACACCTTTATTCAGTTTCTCATGCTCACATTGACTGATGTTAGGTAACAGCTCCATGAAACAAATAAGATCTCCTTAGCAGACAACTCAGTAATAGTTTCTCTATGACAGATATGGGTCCTTTTATGAGCCTAATCATGCAAGAAATTGTTTTTTTTCTTTTCTTCTTTGATACAACTCCATTGCTTCTGGAATAGTGAGACTTCAGCATTCACAGAAACATGAAAGGCAAGTTGCTACCTCAGTTTAGTAAAAATACATTAGCCATGTAAGTTAGTCCATGCCCCAGGGACCACTTGAGGGCTCTAGCCAATGATATCATAATTACTTATATATGTTAACTAGCACCATCTTTAAAAGCATGGTCCTATCTATGTTTATCCCAAACCAAATACCCAGGTAAGTATCAGAATTAATAAATTATAATTATCAATTAATAAATTATAATGAATTACTGACCAGTTATAACATATCCAGATGTTAAAAATTAATATCAAGAACAGAAGCAGTCCAAATAATCTCACTGTAACATGAAGGACATAAAGCATTTGTTTTATTGAATAACTTATCATTATAAAGTTTCCAGATATTAGAAATTCCTACTTTAAAATAATATAACCAGCCAAAAATTAGATTATTTTTTCATTGCAACTCTCAGTGTTATTTCCTAGTTTAAAACTATGAATAAAAAATGCACTCACTTGAAAGAACAGCCTTCCACTATTGAGTTAAACAGAGCTAATACAACAAGTTACCTAGGGATACCTATTTTGAATGTATCTTCTGATGCACCCAGAAGAGACAACTGGGCAAAGACAGTGAGTGAACTTTATGGCACAATGATACTCTCACCTTTTTAAAGAGGCCAAGCTGGCTATGAATGGAATGAGAATGTAGGGTGAATTCCTTGAGAGCTTCACTGCAGGAAAAGAAGTGCCTAAATGAAACACTCTTAGACTATACAGAGGAAGTCCTCTAAACTCAAGATGAAAATACAAACTATGTGATCTGAATATACTTGTACCAGTTTTACCGATGATTACAAATTCCTAATTAAGTACCTCAAAAATAATTAACTCTACTTTCCACCAAAACTAGAAAGCCAAGTTGTACTAAACTGTATAAACTAGACAATTAAATCTCTGCATGCAATTCTTTTAACATTAAAGAATATATTTTAATAATCCCACCAAAATTGTTTTTGCTACAGTAATGTGTGCCTCCTACTTACTGGTATATGCTTACTAGAGGCCCAATGCATAAAATTCATGCAAGGGGCTCAGCCCTTGCATCCACCACAGCTTGCCTCGGCCTTCACAGCCCTGGCTTCCTCCAGAAGGTAGTCCGGAAGGAGGTCCAAAAGAACGTCTGGTCTAATTAGCATATTACACTTTTATTATTATAGATATAGATATACGTTTATTAGTAATTCAGGTCTAAATTTCAGCTAAATTCTTTACAAATATTACTTTTAGAGAATGATAGCTTTTTTAAAGATCATGTAGAAGGATTCATTTCTAAAATAAAAGAACAAGAAAATACTTAGCAACTAACCAGCTTTAATTTATTTTTCTGAATGACATCTTTGTTTTCCTTTTGGTATATCTCCATTTTCTTTTTGGTGTTGTCCAAATCCACATTGTTGGTTAAGTTGAAAACTACAAAAGAAAGGAAACAACATGAAATATAGTTTTAGTATAAATCTTGAATATGTAAAAACCAAATTTTCATCAGAGTAACTTAATTCAATCAGGTTATCATTCCTTATAGCTCTATATATATACTTTTACCTACTATTTATTTTAGAGACTAGCACTAGTTCAGCAATTATATTTTCTGAGCCAAATATAAGGAAAGTGTCAGACTATCACAAAATACGTATGTGCCATAATCATATTAAATTTGATTTTTATAGTCCCCACTCTAACTTTAAAAACATATAAAAAAATGCTTAAAATTTTTAAATAAAAAAATAATTCTGGAATCTACTATACTGGTCAGAGTCAATAGTCAAAGAAGCTGTGCTCTGAAAACAAAACAAAAAAAATTATCCAAAAGGATTTTAGAAGTTATATACTTATATATAATTTATATTTTTTAAAAACAGGTTTTATTGACATTCTAGTGGTCTGCAACATGGCAAGTCACAAGCTTGAATTATTTTCCATCTAGTCTAGATCTGGAAAAATATGAAATGAACAGGAGTTGAAACTTAATAGAAAAGGTAAAGGATAAACTAGCACCAAAACTTAAGACTGAAATAATTTGGTAAGAGAAGCTGATGAGACATGTTATCATAGTTGATAAATTTTCTGTGAATTAGACCTGCCTGTTTAAAATTCCAACTCAAAATAATTTGAATTATAAATGCCTTTACTCCCTTCTAAGTTTACATATATAAATCAAAAGGTTGCTATAATTCTCTTAACAAGAAAAACACCTCTTTGGCATATATAAATTCACATTATAAAGTACCACCCAATATTCACCACTTAGTGTTTTTGCACCAGCCTGTCAAGAAGGATCCAAATCATTAAGACTCTCCTGTTCCATAATTCAATTCAGATCTCCCTTGGCTTCCTATGTAATCTTTCTCCATCCATTATTAGTCCTCCTACACCTTCTCCAATTACTTACCACTGCTTCCTGCTGTTTATCCTATAAAAAGGTTTGATCTGTCCTAAGTATATTTTGTGTTCCTGTAAATTCCTTCCCCATCTCACTCCTTTTTTTAAATTAAATCTTTATTGTTCAGATTACATTTGTTCCTCTTTTTTTCCCCCATAACTCCTCTTATCCCAGTTCCCACCCCTCCCTCCACCCTCACTCCCCACCCACTGTCCTCATCCATAGGTACACGATTTTTGTCCAGTCTCTTCCATCACCCCCACACCCCTCCCCCACAAGAATAGTCAGTCCATTCCCTTTCTATGTCCCTGATTCTATTACAATCATCAGTTCATACTGCTCATCAGAGTATTTATTCACTTGATTTTTAGATTCACTTGTTGATAGATGTGTATT